CATTACCTACCTTTACTCAGACTGGATGTTTCTTCAATCACATAACTGTGGCGTGAGCTTTCGAGGTGCTTGCTAATGTCTTCGCAGTTTTACTTGTTACTGTACTGGGTTGTTTTGCCTACACTCCGATATTGAAACTAGTGATTCGCTTCCTTTACTTTCGCCATGCTTCTCAATAGTTTAATATGAGTATGGGGCACAAGCAACTCGTGGTTTACCACAGGTATCCCAGTTTGCATTCGGGCAGACTGTTATACATAAGTTACCCGTAGGCTACTGAGCCTTCTATCGCCGGCAGTAGTGGCTTAACACAAGGCTGGAGCTTATAACTACATTTAACACTACTGGCTGCCTCCCATAGATTGATTCAAAACATATACATTTTCATTCAAATGCAGTAATAAAGGATAGATGCTGGATTCATGGCGCACCCAAAACGAATTTGTCAACGTCGCCAAGCTCAGGATTTTATTTTGTCCGTTTTTCTCCTCTTAATTGATGTCGTTACATCTTGAAAAAGCAAAGGAATATTGGCCTATGCAACTTTTTGGGTCCCATCATAGGTCAGTAGGTTCGCTATGCAGCTATCCCCACAAACTGTACCCATGGAAAATCAAATCTGCTACCCTCCCAGTAGATCGTTTTCCAACAGATTTGTCTGCAAGTACAGGAACACCGACTAGAACTCGTCATTGGCCTACGTGCATTTCAAATGCGCGCTTAAGAAATTTCCAGTCGCAAAAAGAGTCAAAAGCATGACGCTCCCCATGGGAACCAGTCAAGCCGACAAGCTTGCCATTAATCGCCTATCACCTTGCCATTAATCGCCTGTCACTGATTTTTCACACAAATAACACACGTTCCCATAGGAGATCACAAAAGGATACATTCTGCTTTGAAAATTTATTGCAGAAATCGCTACTGCTCCACAAAAATGGATACTGTACATAGAAATGCAGCCAGCGATAGCGGCTACGCAGTACCTGTCTTCTTTGCCGAGGCTTTCATCGTTCTGGCAAGTCGTCGTCTCGCAACAGCAGCTACGCGCTGCATGGGTGCCTTTGTGGAACGGCTTTGTTTAGTAGTAGAGCTTTTCTCCGGCGCGCTCCGTTTCAAGAATGAAGTGCTTCTTGGCGGACATGGACAGTAAGCGCCATCAGTGCCGGGTTCACCAGACGTACCAGGTTCCCCTGGAGCGCCGTCCTCTCCAGCTGGTCCAGGCTGACCAGGAGGCCCAGGAGGTCCAGGCGGTCCTTGAGGAGCAACTTCTGCCACTGTGCCTTCTGCTCCAATCTCACCAGGAGGACCCACTGGTCCGGGAGGTCCTGGAGGCCCGGGCAGCCCCTTTCCTGACGTCCCTGCTGCTCCAGGCATTCCTGGCGCACCAGGTTCTCCCGGTGCTCCGGGTGCACCGGCATCTCCAGGTGGTCCGGGAGGTCCAGGCATTCCAACTCCTGGATAGGATACACCAGCGCCCGGCATTCCATCAGGTCCAGGTGGTCCAGGAGGCCCCTCTGGACCAGGTGGTCCCGGAGGGCCTATGGGGCACTTGACACAGCCCCCCGCTCCACCTCCGCCTGAGATCGCTATTCCGTCATTTCCTTTTTTGCCAGGTTGCCCTGGTTGTCCTGGTTCTCCTGGCATTCCTTCTGGACCAGGCGGTCCTGGCGGCCCAACTGGGCAGCCTCCCGCCTGTGGTCCGCAATTGCAGTGCTCTGGGTACTGACGACGTGGACGTGCGATAGAGCGGGCTTGACGCAGAGTTTCCTCTGGGCTCGGCCGCATTTGGTACCATGCAGAGTTCGCCATGTCCTGAAAGATCCCCAGAGGAGTGCCAGAGCATCAAATAAGGGAAACAGTTGCAATGAAATGTTAAATGTTACCTTGAAGTCAGCCAGCTGTTCGACAGCTTCTTCATAGAAGTTATTGATGTCGTTGATAAGATAACCGACGAGGATAATGCTGAAGGTGGTGGCAACAGCTGTCACACCGGCCACCCCGGACACGACCTTAGTCAAACCCATTATCTAAATGACACTTGGATCCATTCATAATGCCATCAAGTTGAATCAAACACTCGAACTTACCCACAGAAACCGTCACAGCTGTCAGCAGCGTGGAGGACTGCCCTTTGAGGCGCACGCCCTCATTAAATAGGCCTTGTTTCGTGGTCACTTTACACCATGGCACTCTCGAAGTGCAGGTCTAGATTCGTTTCGTTTTTGAGTTGTTTCGGAGCATCTACACATGTATGTATATGCGTAGGTACAACAGGTTAGATGGTTGCTCCACCCTCAACCCTCTCATCTGCGGGTTTTAGAGAGGAAGATCGGCCCCATTACAGGGAATGGTGCCAGTTTTTTCCTCGCAGGTAATACGACGCCAGCGACAATCTCAGATTGCTTCTTGTATCGTCAAGGGAAAATCCAGCCGCGATTTAATTGGTACCCCCATGCTGAATGAACGATAGATCATCCTCATGAATGGCTTTCACCTCTGCGAGATTACCGCCCCAGGTTATTTCCTTCTTGTGCTTTATGGCGGCATCTATCCGGTTCTCGCACTTCAATGGGCCCTTTTCGTTGTTCTGAACAAAGAAACCATTCGCACGATTGATTTAGCTAAAGCTAGCTTCAATTAGAGCTGAAGCGCGCCATGCACTCGACGGCTTTGTTGGACCACAAAGGCATTTGAATGGATACCAGCTTATAGAAGGAATCGGTGTGATAGATTGACGCTGACAATCCATGATTAAATCTCACCAAAAATAAGCATTAACTAGAAACCTACCCTTCCCAAGATTGGTAATTTAGCTGGCCTAGATGTGGTTTCGTTCCACGGAAGTGCACAGACCCGACCTCCAAGTATCAATACAACGAAAGTGAGCTACCTTTCACAGAGACCATGGCCGCATCACATGCCATACAAAATTACTCCAAAGTGGTGTGACATCATGAAACCATCGAGGGTAATCTCAACAATCTCAGTGTTCCCTACCCTTTTTTTTCCCCCTTTGGGTGGGGATTTTTAATTTTTAAATTCGGATTTTGTGTTTCGACTGATTTAGTGTAAAAGCTCCCCCCCCCCCCCCCCACCCCCTTGAATTTTGCAATACTCCGGTACCCCAGGAGGCCCGTCGCGCGGCAAGAAGGCAGAGTCAGCGGACGAGTCGCAGCGCGTACTGTAGTGATTTCGCGTCAAGTTAAATAGAATGTCCCACTGTACGTCCTACATCGCACATCACGCGCTGCAACTCGTCCGCTGACTCTGCCTTCTTGCCGCGCGACGGGCCTCCTGTCGGATACCCCATTACTTCGAGTACTGCACACTCCTGGTTCTACTGATAGGCTAAAGGCGCTGCTGCCAACCACGTTTAGCATGAATTGAGCCCTCCTAGGTAATCAAGCATTTCTTCCCGAACTTGATCTGTGGAGATAACTTATTCAGTTCAGACATTAGCAAGCCTGTACTTCATTGTGAAAACCAATAAACAATTCGAGAATGTTCGCGGCTACGAATAGTACTCAAATGCTTGGCTCACCCTGAACCGTTTGGTCAGCGCCGGGCTCCTACAAAGGGGTCTTTCTTTGTATTGAGCGTTTTTTTTTTTGAAACGGTTATCTGCATTTCATGGGAAGTTATGCGTGGGCTATATTCTCGCTGAGCGGCCTCGTTGAAGCCAAAAAGTGCTAATGAAACGGTCCAAGCTCCGATACCCCGTGGTGACAAAATTTGTGAACTATAGGTTAGAGCTTCCAAATTTCCTCCCGATAGCGCCAGCGCCAATAAAAGGTATAAAAGCTGTCATATCCATCAACAAGATTGCTGCTTGATCCACATATCACTGCACGTTGTAAGTCACTCACTCCATGCAAATTTTTCCGATCCTTTTTTAGCCTCCAGGGGTTTCGCAGCGAAAATGCAAGACAGTTTTGTAGGGCGCGTGAGAGCCTCTATAGCATGCAGCGATACACTTCAGAAATCCTGCACCCTGAAAGACCTCCCTCGTCAGTCCTGGCTCCATTTTCTCCTTTATGCACAGGATCACCGTGGTTTTGCCGCTTCAAATTTGATAAATACTGAAGGTCTTGGAAACTTCTCCAGCCATTTCTGGTTTCAAAACTCGCAATTGAAAGTACGAGCATAAAGGTGAAGAAGGTTTGAGTTGACGGGCTCACCTTGAAATTACCTTTGAGGTTGAAAGGACATGTTGAAATTGCCCATAGCTGTTGCCAGTTTTTTTGCCCTTCCATAATGAGCGTTCTCACGACCTCGTTTTTGTGAGCGATTAGGTTAAGTGGTTTTGTGTGTGCGAAGGCACTTGACGGTGATTGCATGAAAAAGCTTGACTCCTAACATAACCTCTGTATCCACAATTGAAACATAAAAAGGCTTTTCTGAACAATAACCACAACACTTAGAATACCCTAGACAGCAAGAGTTTGTTCCTCAAAATTAAGCCTGAAGGGACAAAAATCTCAGTATTTAACAATGAGTGTCGATGAAACTGGAGGTCGGGGATGGGGGGAGGTGTGGTATTCCATTGTGCTCTCCAACAATAAAGATAAGAATAGGTGCACCATAACACGTCATCACTTCCCTTGAAACGCATGTTCGGTAAGTACCGTACTCTTGAGGTGGTTTCCCATTCCGGCTTACAACGGTCCAAGGAAACGGTTCTGAGCCAGGGGAATGGACGTCTAGCCTAGATTTTAGGGTGGACGAGCTCTAAGGTGGATGATCAGTCACTTTTGCAAGCCACCTGGCATATCAATTGAGGGATCTTGGACCAGCGCACTTACCAATGCACCACCTCACCCAGATGATTACTTACTGGGATTAAAAATCACATCGATTTTACAATGGTGCTTAGTTATGGGCAGAGATTCATCCTCCGATCTCCTCATTACTCCCATTTCATTGTGTATTTTATGCAAATAGCTCGTCAGCGCTCCACAAAGAGCCTTCAGGCCGATGCGCAGAAGGACACTCTGAATAGTACACAATCCGATACAAGAAGGGCATCATTGGACCGGAATTGCCAAGCCAAGCGACAATAATTCGCTATTCTAACATTGTCAACTTCAGTCTTAAAACACGAGCGGCTGTTTCCCTCCCACTCATTTCTGTACCGCAAGTGCAATATTTCAATCTGACCAAATTTCGCACACCAGAGAGACCATAAAGAGTCAGTGGAAACCAACCAAGAGAATAAAATATCACTAAGTCATGCAAGAAAAAATGCTCAGTGCCGAAAAAAGGTCATGAATCAGAAGGAAACCCATGAAGCAGAAGGAACTAAACACGACAAAAACTTATCACGAGAGTGGTTTTTGTTTTAGGCAGGAACGTCTGAAAAAAATTGTTTCGTAGGTTTCAACGACGCACAATAAAGTTCCACTTCATCAACCTAGTGCTGGTTCCGCAGGGCAAATTTGCGGACGTGATGGGCTTCTTCCCGTAGACGGAAACGTCACGTTGTAGCAAATCGCAACACAGAGGGATAGTTTTTATGAGAAACACCACGCTTAATTCCATATCAGAGTAGTTCCTGTTCAACCGTTTTTTCATCCCCTTTTTATCCTGAGCTCTGGCCTTAATTGGACTGTAACACATCACATGAACTTTTCTAATTTGGTCCGTCACATGAGAACTCTCTGGAACTCTTTTACCTCATTACCTTTATTTAGTTTCCACAAATAACTACACTGCCCACCAATTGGTTATGCCACTCCTTGATTTTTAGATATCTGAACTAGTCGCAACTCTCATAAATCGGCACAATAGCTATGACGGGTGTGTCTGAAAACTCAGAAAGGCGTCATTTAATAGTTGGTTACTGTGGAGTTCAATTTACTGCGCACATTTTAGAAAAATGCAACTCTTATACCATTAAGATTTCTTCACGTTTTCTCCTTTCTTTGCCGCCATTCAGTTACGGCCTTCATGTAATGGGAATCCTAATTATTCGTTGCTTCCGAAAACCAGGTGCGCATCGAGTGCAGACCATACACCACAAGTGACGACGGCCTCCAAGTAAATCCTAGTGTTCATAGTGATAGCTGATTTTGGTAAATGATAGTTGTAATTAGTGACAACTGATAGAATACAACTGCAACAGGCTAATCATTTCATTGGCAAAAACATTTACATTTTGTGGAGGCCGTCGTCACTTGTGGTGTGTGGTCTGCACTCGACGCGCATCTGGTTTCCGGAAGCAGGGGTTCGCCACAAATTACGGTAACAAGACGCAGAGCACAATTTCCGGTACAAGGCGCACAGCCACAATTTCAAGATTGAACCAAAAGTTTAACTGTAAGTATTTGTTTTCAATAATTCGATGTTCATTTCTTAATTCTGCCACGTAAAACGTTTATCTTTGGATTGATACGGCCTGTTCGTCCTTCATGGAACAATCACTCGTTTGTTTCGTCGCTTTGCGCGAAGCATCTGAGGACAATCAGGAAGACTGTAAAACCCCATTGCAAAGTCTAATGAACCAGCTAACATTAGCGATTCGTCTGGACGTGGAAGGGAAGCTAATGCTGTTAGAAAAACAGTTTTGAGCACTGTGCTTGACTCCAGCACATTTAATACCTCGTTTGATTCATTTCGCTTCTAACGCATGCGTTAGAAGCGAAATGAATCAAATGATCTGCGCCTTTGTTCACTCAAACAAAGCGACGTATTGCGGGCCACTTCAGAATGCGAAAACAGCATTCCGTCTTGAATCACATGGCTGCGTTTATTTCCCTCTAAAAGCCTCTTCTTTGTTAACTACTGTGACCTATGGAAAAAGTCTTCTTAACAAACGTGCCTATTTCTTCAGCGGTTTTTCAATCGAAAGTTTCGGTCACGGTGCTGTCTAGGTTCGATGTTGGTTGCCAGCATGCCTTTTTTGCCCACAACCCGTCACTCATCGTCAAATTTATTCCTGCTCTTTTTCATGTGATGCCAATATACTCGGCGGCGTCCTTGAAAAGGTCGCTGACGGCTGCGGCACCTTGTTCATCTTCCAAGTGAA